TATAACCATGATGGCATCTTAAAAAGTGCAGATTAACTCTGAGGTATGGCGATAAATCTCGAAGACAGTTAACAACTTTTTTTTAACATGCTCAGATAATTGCGTCTTTCTTAGTAATAAAATGTCAAGCATCATCTTTGAATAAGAAAATGCGGTGTCAAATGTCATAGTGCAGGAAAAAACTGAGGGACATTGCAAGTGTTAATAGCGTAGAGATCGTGAACGTGAGTTCTTGAAGAAGTTTATTAGTAAGGTGTATTTTTAATGGTTAATTAATTGATAAAATGTGCTGTTATTATAAAGTAACATTGATATTAAATAGTAAAGTTCTACCAATATTTCAAATGCTTTTACGTAACGTTCGATATTTTTTTCTAGTTTTTTATTTTACATGTACTGTTTAAATTGTAATAGATTAAATGTTTTAAATTTGTCAAACTGCTTAATGTGAGTTAGGTTAGGTTAGGTCCACGTAAACCAAACAAAATTTATAAAGGTATTTCTTTAAGACGTTATCCGTCATTGTTTGGGAAGTATATGATGCGTTACGCAGACCGAAAGGCATTCTAGTGCATTCGTAGTACCGAAAAAGCAGTTTTTTCGGTATTTTCTTTAGCCATTTCGATTTGGTGGAACATGCACTGTTGTAATAATATACTGTAAACAAAACTTGTAGTAACTGTTTTTTTTTTAACACTTATTACGTAATATGCTATTTTAGGTTCATTTACAGTTTGAAAATGTAACTTTTTATCCTCATTCCAGTTTGCTACTTTGTAAACAGGCCCCAGGATGTAATCTTCACGGCTTTATTAAAATTGCTCTTAGCCACAAACAATATTTTTATTAATAAAACATTATGAAATCATCAAACATTCCGCTTAATCATTTTTTTCAGTTACAATCACTGCTCTGAGCGTTGTCCAGATTACGTCATCCCATACCAGTTTTTCAAACTCGTATTTTTACTTTTTTCTATAGAAAAATCGGCGGCAAAAAACAGGGAGTCGAAGACATTCGATCGGGTCGTTAGAAGTCCTTTTGGTTGGAATTCGTTATGTGATCATCTTCTGTTATAACTGGTAGATAGTTGAGTGGTTTCTTCGATTTTATGAGTTCACAGAAGGTCAAGGTGTAAGAGGATGAGACATAATGCTGGTCGTTTGCAAATTGTTGTCAGTGTATCAAAATTACAGCGACAGGTGGTTTTGTTCTACGTATTTTAGTTAAATGAAGTTTAAAAGACATGATAAACTGATAGATAGAAGTAGATAGCAAAAAGTTTTGTGATGATGAACGATTCTTTTACACAATGTAACTATTTTAGCGTTTGGTATTTAGCGAGATTTTCAATACGAAGTCTTATATCCTCAGTGAGTTTAATGCAAAGCTTTTCGTAGTAAATATTTCAACATAAATTATGAACAGGTACTTATAAAAAAACCGGATATTAGAGATTCCAACACAAATACAATACGTTTAATTGCCCTGTCAAATTTGACAGCGCTGCTATTCTTAAACTTGCACACCGAGAATCATTACATCAATGGTGTTTTTTTGCTTAGGTACCTACTTTGTGATCAATCTTTAGCGGAGAATATTTCATAGCTGTAAAATTTATTTTGAAATCTAGTAACTGTACTTTGCTTTTTTTATACGTCTTTGTTGAATAATATTTTTATTAATATATTATAAAGATGGCCTTGATGTAATGTTGATTTATTTTGATCATCGCTTCAAAACTGTACACTTAGACCAGTGCGGATCTGTTTTGAGGTGGATGTAAGAGGGGGCAAGCAAATTTTTTCTGGATTATCTTCAGTACAACTCCTATAATAAAAGTGTAGATCCCTAGATCTGGGCGAGGTCCGGAACATTTTCAAAATTGCAAAAGTGTTTAAAAAATTTAAAAAAATATCTATTTTATCTGAGTTTTTACTTCTATCTTGGAACCTATGCATTTTGGAAGAATATTGAAAAGGAAAAAAAGTTTTAGAATTGAATTTTGTACAATATACTGCAAGTCAAAAATGTTTAAATTTATTACCGATTATTTTTCAAGGGAAAGATGACTGTGACGAAAAAGGAGACGAAGAAGAAGTACACAGGAAAAGTAGGTCAAATACTGACCTCCCATTAGTCCCAAAACAATGGGTTAAATCATAATATTATTAAGAATATTATTAAGAGGCGCTTTTGAGTACTAAGCGAAATTAAATGAATGGGCGATCGGCAGGCGTTCTTCGTGAATTCCACAATGGCCGACCCAATTCCGTGAGAACCCGCGGTCGGCGTTACGTATGCCTACTAGATGTACAAGCCTTACGAAACGCGATTCGCTTTTTGTTTGCCCCCGGGCAATGCTACAAGAGATAACTGCGGAGAAGACGCCATAAAATAAAGTTATTTCAGCAAAATAAAGTAAAATTCTTAATAAATTGAGTAAAATTACAAATAAACAATCATTTTGTGAAACTGTTTTACGCTAAACTTCTAAAAAATCAAAAATAGTTGCAAAACGGTACGTTTTCAGTCCAATATCTGTTTATCAAGGTTGGCTTTTGAAAAAATGGAGGTAGGTAGTGCCCTGAGGAAATGGAACACTCGGTATAATTGAGAACAGTTCTTGTAAAATGTAAAGATGTGATACAACATTTGAAACATTTTTTTGTATAATTTATATTAGGAGAGCTGAAAGAGTATCTGTGCACGCTCTGGTATTTCAAAAATATTAACCAGAGTTTTTAATAACTTTCCCAATGGACATTTTCTTAATTTTTTAGCAATATCGCATTATAGTACAATTAATAATAATATATGTACCTCATTTGGTGTTTATAGACACCACACACTGATCCAAAAAATCACAATAAACACGATACATTGCATCAAAATGTTAACTTTCTCTTCTCCAATCTAGGAAGGCAGGCATATATTAATAATTTTGGATAAACAATAACTGTTTTAATGGTACATTATTGTTTTATTTCACACTTAACATGTTATTAACCGCAAAAAACAAACTTCTATTTTCTTAACCATTACCACTCAATGCTTTAATAGTCTGTCACAAGAATTTTGATTTTCTGTGTTACTCGCGTTGAGAACCGAAACTGGTTAGGTCAAAGAGAGGTCAAGAGGGTCGGCAGTTAATCCTGGTTAATTGATGGTATCTTTTCTTTAATTGCTAGGTATACAAATGCTGCTCACTGGTCTCTCAGTTCTTTGCTAAAGGTCGTCCAACTATCTCATTATTAATTTATAGCGTGTCTTGCTACACAGTGAACAGCCAAAAGAAAATGACAGGTGTTGCGAGTGTAATTCAATGCCGGTAGGGGTATATAGCTCTCGGAGTAGTTGTTTCTCGCAACACTGACAATTCAAACACTATCGAACCGATTTTAATGAAATTTGGTGTGTTGTTTTATTATACTCTAAAGTATTTTTTACCAAAATTAGAATGCCCTCGGAGCAATTAAAATATTAAAAAAATATATCCAAAAAACTTGATTATTTTGCCTTTTTTCATCGATTACTGCTATTTTGCAACATCAGTAATAATTTAAACATTTTTAACATACAGTATATTGCACAAAATTCAATTCTAATACTTTTTTCCTCTTCAATATTCTTCCAAAATGCATAGGTTCCAAGATATAAGTAAAAACTCAGATAAAATAGGTACCTTCTAGCTAAATTCCAATGAAAGCTACTTAAGTAACTCGAAATATGTTACACAAATATACTTTTCAGTATTTTCAACACTACGCGAATTATATATTTCACAGCACCAGTTGCGCAATGACGTAATTATATTGATGACCGGTTGTTATTGATTGATGAAATAGAACCGATTTTAGTGTATTAGACATAAGTATCTCGCTGAAACTTTGCTATAATCTTCTGTGATGGTTTTAAGCAAATTTCGACCTTTGATATTATTGAGAAATTGCTTAGGGGATTTACAACTTAATAGGAACAAAATGTATATAATTAATTGATTGCAACAAAGGCGATATCGCTCTGTTAAAATAATAGTGTATAGCAAATGAAATTCATCTAAAAATTATGTCCAAATGGGGGACAACAAATAAAAATGACTCTTCTTATAAACAGGTTGTTGTTCTGTGATGAACAACCAAAAACTGTCAAGCAACAAAACAATTTTTAAATTAAATCGAGAATTATCTACGGTTATACATGCTTTGGCGCTCCCTAGCCAACAAATATTGCTAAATATATCCTAAATACCTAACATTAATCAAATTGTTCTTGCCAGATGTGTTTTTGTACGTAAAATATTACCTTGACATTATATCTTCAATGCGTTTAATAACTTGGATAAGCTCATCTTTATTGTCACAATTCTTGCTTATGACATGCTAATAGATTTTTATTAACTTTGACATTTTGTTGAGGTTTTTCCAGTGTTTGGTAATTTATTGTGAGCCAAATAAAAGAAATACTAATTAGTTTTTAAATGCCTTTCCAATGATTTTCCATTTTGCAACTTACCTAATAAATCAAAGAATCCATCGAAGACACGGAAAAAAATCAGCAAATTGATCTAGTTATATAACGGCTTGTTGAATTGGGTGCAATCTAGCTCCCGCTCATTATGAGCGTTTCGCGGCAAGCCCATTGTTCTGTGGTGTGTTGTAATTCGAGGAACCATGGGAGATTTATGAAAAACTGAAATTATGCATTTACTTTCCTACACTTAAAAAAAGAGGTTTCTTAAGACTATTGATTGTGTTGGGTCCCTAGGAAACGAACATTTAAAATTTTGTTACATTTAAACGAACTCTTTTCTGAGTGTGTACGTTCCTATGACCCGGATAGCTTCTGGTTTCATTCAGTGAGGGAGGCAACGCATAATATTTACAAAAACAATAGGTTTGTTAATCAGAGAACGGCCTTGGGCGCCATACAAGAACATGTACTATTTTTTAGAATGGAAATTAGTGTTACTTCAGCTGATATTATGTTTTCTGTTGCAGAAACACGTACGCCATGGAACGGTACCACATGTTTAAATTGGGTAAGTCTATAGATAGTGTGACTTTTGTGAAGGAAAGAATCACTTCTTTCAGTGTGACTGAATCTGATTAAAAAAATAAATAAATAGGCAAATATAACTTATTTAATAATGCAGTAAGAGTTGGTACATTGAAAACATCCTGTGTATTATCACAATATACAGAGTATTTCAAAATAATCGTATATAGGAGGGCTTGAAGCCTTTTTCAATTAACTTTTTCTATCTCCAAAAATAAAGCTCATATCTTAATTTTAAAAAAACTATTAAGTCTAAAATTTATGCTACGTTATTTTGAAACGCCCATTCTATCGAATCCTGCCCCCTCGCTTTTTGCAGTATCTCACGATCTCCTTCGAATCCAAATGTAAATTACACACTAATTAAACCATTTGTTAACATCTTCCAATGGAGTTCTAAATCAGATAGAGCAGCCATCTCAACGGTAACCCGTATAAATAAACAGTAATGACCGATTTGAGCGACGGACAAAGGCTGAGGAGGAACCTTCTACGTGATGGATTTTTTTACGAATTGCCTTTAATTGGCCATGGTTTGGTTAATTAGAGGTTTCTCCAGATTCAGAGAATCTGCATTTCTAGCAATTAGAACTTCGCGTGCAGCTATGCTCCTCGTTGATTAGATTTATATATGAAGGTGAAATTTATAAAGCAGTTTAAGGCGATTAGCGGTTGTTGCAATGTCATAATAGGTACCAAAACTGCAGGTCCTCTCTAAAAGAAATTTTTAACGTTTAAGATTTCCTTGGAAATTTTCTTCAAAATTTTCTTCATCTTCAATCTTACGTTTCGATGTTGTTAATACCCTAATTTCGAAGAGCGTTTTTCTTATTTATTTTCATTCGAAAGTTTTATTCAAATATAAATATAGTTTAACGACGACCTCTCTTAGCTGCAGTACATTCATTTTTTTTAATTATGCTCAGTGGCACTTTTGTTACGTAATCGATACTATCTGCCGAATAATTACTTTAGGTTCCAGAATTAAAGCACAATTAGAACAATTGACTGTGGATATTGCGGAATAGATTTCATCAGACAGTTTTGTTCAAATAAATACATTCCGGAAGATCCGACAGCTAACATTGTGGAACAACGCAACAAACATCGAATTTTGACACCATAATTAATTGCCCCTATTTTTACACAACATTTCTGCAAAGGCTGTCAAACTAATCAAATATAAGATCAATTATTGCTAGTTGTATTTCTAGAATTGCAAGTGAAAACGGTTCGAATACTTTAATATTAGCAGTATACTATCGTCTTACAAAAATTATAACGCCAATTTTAAGATCTATTATAACATGAAAGTGAAATATAGATTTGCTGATAAATCCTGCTTATCTTCAATCTACTTAACAATGTAATTCGGTAATGTTCCTTTTATTGATGTCTGGAAGAGACTGTGAATTGTACATTCACCAGACGTTGTTCACGCTAGAATAACCTCAAAAGGTGTTATAATTCAGATCTGTCAGACAGGACGCCTGCAATTTGGAGCTGTGAAAAATATAAATTTGCTTATCTGATGGTACGATCTAAGCTGCCAAGCGCTCATAGCGCAGCGGAGGAATGGGATGGTGGCACAATACCAAAAGATACGTCGTTGCAGCATGAACATAAAAAAATACGCTTCTTGGATACTCCTATGTATACGAATGTACGCGAATTTAGCGTAGATGTCGTTATTTTCGTCATTATCGACAACAGAATATTAACGAAAACGAGGCTCTATTTAATGCAAAAAGAGCGAATTCCCGAGCGGTTTTTGCCTGACCCTGAGATAATAACGCTGTTTTGCGCGTCCTACTTTGTAAGTTGTAAAGAGCAACTTAATTTCAATCCATTGAATTTTTTCTTTTTTGATACATTTCTTTGGATCAATTAGAACCTATATCTACGATATCAACTTCTAAAATGAACGTTTAGTAATTGAATAATTAGTTGCAAAGACACAAATGAAATTATTTATTATTTTATATTATTTTTGTTACTTAAACTGTCAGCAACATAACTTTCTGCAATCGTGGCTGATTTCCACCCACCATGTCCCGTGATTGCTAATACATCAACTCCTGTATTAGCCAGTAACGTTGCCGATGTTCTTCGGAATGAATGGCCTGTATATGTTTCAGGATGTTCTAGTTTCAAAAATTGTGCAATTTTATTAGACAATATGATTTTAGATACCTTAAATTGTAGATAATTTAATTGACTACAATATAAAATGACTAATTCTCCTATAGGACGTCTAGATTTACGTGGTAAAAAAACATATTGCAACTTGCTTGCTAATTTCGAGTTATTTTTTTGATATTATCGTTCTACATAACCTTCCACATCATAAAGTGCAACAAAATGTCTACTAATAATTTTTTCACGTTCAAACTTTAATTGGACTGGAATAGTAGTCTTATTAACATTTTCTTACGATTTAAGATATTTGTTAATACCTGTTGTTACACCTCAGAAATATTTCTTGATTTACCCACATACTTTCCTTTAATTGCAATCGTACTTACATCAAACATTACTGATTATTTAAAAAAATACCACAGTGATTGATACTGAAATTGTCCATTTTGCAATTGTAATCCCTCGCTCTTTGACATTTGCTGTAGGTGTTTACCTTATTGCAATAGACATAACATTTATAAAGGTATAATTAACTGTATTTAATAAGATATAAGCAAAAGATCCTCGATCACATCTCACCATTGACGTGCAATAAGTTATATAATTCCCTTTGTTCATTTTCAGGGTTGGCGATACTTTTTTATGCTGCCTACTGCATCCGGCCTATGGTAAGTTTTTGTCAACGATTAATATATTCAACTACTTCCGAAAGAACCAAAATTGTTAATTAAATCTTACGATTTGCAGCTTGTAAGCGGCCTGAGATCCAGCAGCCTGATAACCAATCAGACCCTTAGACCGGAAGACTACAACGTCTTCTACCAAGGAGTGGACGGTACCCCAGGCGTCGACTTCCCAGTCCTTTCCTTCATCCCCAGAACGACCTTCAGTTGCAGCGGCATAGAATCAGGGTACTACGCTGACCTGGACACAGACTGCCAAGTAAGTTAAAGACGTAAACACATCACCATTCACTGATAACTCTCTCCTCTAGGTGTTCCATATTTGCGAGGAAGGCAAGAAGATATCCTTCCTTTGCCCCAATGGTACCATCTTCGAACAGGCAGACCTCATCTGCGAGTGGTGGTACAAAGTTAACTGCACCAACGCGCCCAGTCTGTACCAAGAAAGCGCCGAGTTCCTAAGAGAGGATTTAGCTAGGAGGAAGGCTTCTAGGAGGATAGCCCTTGATGGTCGTGAGAGAAACCACGGCGCTGTCATGAGGATAGAAGAATCAGCTTCCGTCAGCGCGCAGCAGAACGGGAAACCTTTGAGGATCAGTTCGAGTAGAGGGCAAGGTGTTGAGTATACACGATCGACTAGCAGTCCCAGTCGGTCTAATTTAATTCAAAGTGCCATTGGTAGAGACCAGAACATTCCTCAGAAGAGATACAATGACGCTGACACGGGGAACTTCATCAACAACGATAACAGAGTTGATGGCGGTTTTGAATATTCTGGACCCAGCAGCGTTTCTGTGGAAAAACAGCTCTATACACGCTCGACAACACCTTCTTCTGCCTCGAACTTAGGGGAGATCCCCTCGAGAAAGCAACTGAACAAGAACAGGGGTAGTATAAAATACGGTATTAATGGGTTTGGCAGCAAAATCACAAGTACCATAGGATCGACTTTGAAACCAACTACAGACGCGTATGATTTGGCATTCCCTACCCATAGATCCGAGGTCACTTTTAACGATTTCCGACCAAGACCCACATCAGGGAGCAACACAGTGAAAATAGATTCTAGTAAAGTTAATTTGGGACAACCAAAGCAAAAAGGTACAGTTGCTTTGACGAGAAACGGCATACTCAACAGACGCCTAGAACCAACAGATTCTGACGAGTTGCAAGTCCCTCAAGAAACAGCAGCCTTTTCCTCGAATTCCTACAACAGTCTTCAGTCCAACACTCGAAAGTTCACTTCTAGTCCTTACCCCAATCACCGTCCCACTTATTCTGATTTGAAACGACCAGATTTCTCATCCACAAAGCTTGTAAATCCTATAAACTCGGTAACACCTCAGTACATCACCACCCAGTCAATTACCAGTGGGAAACCTTTCGTCGGAAGCACGGTTGGTGGAAATGTCTTCAGAGGTACGGGAAGAACAAAGCAGAATGAAGCAACTTTCAAACCGTTCTCTGCAACTGAAAGAACACCCACTGTTTCTACCTATCAACCGTACGAAGGCAGTAAGCTGGGCTTTTCCACTGGAGGGGCAAAAGAAAACAAAGACGCTATTAAACCATTCCCTACAATTGAAGGGACACCTACTGTTTCCACTGATGACACTTTTGAAAGCAGTAAACTGGGTTTCTCAACGCCGCAGGCTGGATTGGCAGTAACGCAACAAAATCAAGAAGGCTCTGGATCAATTTCTTCAACTGAAAGGGGAGTGCTTTATACAGTGAAGCCTTTCACTTCTTCTCATCTTCATATTTCTGATGACAATAACCTAGATTCCACAACACCGCAAGATGAAACTTCAAAAACGCAAGAAAAGCAAGAAAGCTTTGGTCCAAGTGACGGAACAGTACCTTACACAGTACAACCTGTCTTTACCGCGACCTACAATACCGACAGTAACAATCAGGCCATCACCTCGACGTCACAAGACCATGTTTCAACAACGCAACAAAATGAAGAAACAGATGGACCTTACTCTACAACTGACAGAGCAGTACCATACACAGTACAACCTGTTGTATCTTCCACTTACCAATCTTTCCAAGACAACAGTCAAGGTTTCTCATCGACACCACAACCTGTTGTTTCCTCTACTTACCAATATTTCCAGGATAACAGTCTAGGTGTCTCGTCGACACCACAACCTGGACTTTCAAGTACCTCCACGCCATCTGTCGAAGGTAAAACTACAAGACCAGTCGATCACGCTACAGTGTACGGTTCCTTTTCAAGAGGCCCAACGACAGCGACCCCTCCAAATGGAGTTGAAGTGAAACTCGGTAAAAACGCTGATAAAATTAGTATCCAATTATCTAAATCGTTTGGAGGACAACCCCCAAAACACGGTAGTACCGTCGGTCCGCAACTGGCGTCTGATGGTTTTGTACGCATAACCGCGGGATTATCACAACCCGTCGTTGGAGGCGCGTCTCAAGCTAACTTAAGAGGTTTTGGAAGAGGTACCAGCCCTCCCTTGTATTCACAAAGTGGCAAAGGAATAACTGCTTCAGCAGCAGGAAGTGGTGGAGCTGGAATAGCAGCCAGTACCGTTTTGCCAAACACTCTATCTCTTTCAGAGGGAACGACACTTAATGTGGATATTCCTGAAAGTACTGCTAAGGGCGCAAGTACGCTTATTCCGTCACATGTAGCACCGGAAATCCGTGTTAATAACGTTCAAAGCACCACCGAAACCCCTGGTGCGATCGAAACCCAAACTGGTGCAGCAGAAAATTTGAACACTGGTGTTACTATTGCTGAAAATGATATTGGAATTGGAAACACCGCGAGTGGTAGTCCTGTGAAGTTTAATATAGATTTAGCAACAGGAAGTACTGGAAAATATTTTAACAATGGAAATATTGGTAGCGTAGGAAAGACTACTCCGATTTTCAGTGGTACTGGAAGTACTGATGCGCCAAATGTTCAAATATCGATAGGATCTCGTCTTTCTGGCAGTACCACAGCACAGCCTTCATATGATAATACAGGAAGTACTCTATTGACGAATGTAGAAGGATCGACTTTAGTACCAGGTTCATTAGGTTATGACATTAACTCTGAAAGTCAGCCAACAAATGGAGGTTTAAGAACCCCTACATCAAGTATAGTATCGACAAGAATTTCAGATAATGCTCTCAGAGGACTAGTAAGTGGTGCATCTGGAATTACTGCTATTCCAAATATAGCAATCGGTGAAGACTCAAATGGATATCCGTCATCCTCAGTTAGACCAAACGTTTACGCTGAAAGTCAGCCAACGAATGGAGGTTTAAGAACCCCTACATCAAGTATAGTATCGACAAGAATTTCAGGTAATGCTCTTAGAGGACTAGTAACTGGTGCGCCTGCAATTACTGCTATTCCAAATATAGCAACCGGTGAAGACTCAAATACTGGATATCCGTCATCCTCAGTTAGTCCAAACGTTTACGCTGAAAGTCAGCCAACGAATGGAGGTTTAAAAATCCCTACATCAAATATAGTATCGACAAGCATTTCAGGCAAAGTTATTGAAGGACTCGTAGCTGGTGCAAGTGGAATTACTGCTATTCCAAATATAGCACTGTCAAATTCAACTGGTGGGGACTCAAATACTGGATATCCGTCATCCTCAGTCAGACCAAACGTTTACATTAGCGAAAAATCAAAGAATACTGTTTCACTTCCCGTTGGAAGCGGTTATGATTATTCCACAGTAAGTTCAGTAACGAATGGTGCTCATTCTCAGGTTACTGAGTTACTGCCTATCCCAGAAACTCCTAGAGGATCTTTACAAACAATCAACGGTACAAATTCTCATTCGAATTCGTTCCGACCAAACTTCTATCCAACAAGAGAAGGAGGTAACAATGTGGGTAAACCTACAGGATCCCAGGTATCTACTGTAGAAGGAAACTCTTATCAAAGTCCTCCAAACTCTATCAAAACATTTGCTTCAGATATCCAAGGAACAGTTCCGTCAAGCTTGAGAACTCAGTCTGTTGAAATCAACTTATCTCAAAATGATATTGGAAGTACTTTGTCTCCAACTGAAGAATCATCTACTTATAGATCAACGTCGACTCAACAGAGTAACGATTATAACAGTTTCAAATCTTCTTCCAGACCAGGAGAATCAGATGTTACTGGTACTGGATTCTACGTTACTAGAAACTCGTTTACCTCCACTACCCCTGCTCCATTTGGTCTTTCACAAGCAACAACGTCAAGTTACTCAGACTCCACACCTTTAGTGAATGTTAGTCCTAACTCAGGAGAAGAAGTAACACCAAGAGCTCCAGCATTAGATACTTTATCTAGGTCGGAAACTAGATACCCTAGACCATTCCAAAAGTCCCCCAACTCCATCGACGACGAGAGCTCTGCCACCAAATTCGACGCTGTCACTCCAACTTATTTCTCTTACAAGATATCCAGCGCAAGACCGTTCGAGCTCCCTAAGGACAAAGTCACGCCTTCTCCGACTATACCCACTCCATTTACCACTGCTAGGTCTGTTCAAGAAAACGTAGACGACATGATTAACACTCTGAAAGAGGTGATCGAAACTCAAGACTACTCCTCCGAGACCCCCAGGCCAGGACTTGTAGTGCCTCCGTCTGCTGGCCCCCAAACCCTCCACACACTTGCACAGTACTTTGCAAATGCTTTGGACGGAATCGTCGCCGAGAGAGAGAAAGAAACCGGAGAGGAGTTAGATCCCGAAAGTAAAGAGAAACTTACCAGTCTACTAACTCAGATGACCATGTACCGATACAATGAGTTGTTTAACAGGACTGGAATTGGTGCTAACGAAGGCGAAAGCACAACTGCAACTCCTATAGAAGAAGAATTGGAGGAGGGCGATTCTAACAACTTGGTGGAAACGCCAGAGCTGCGGGACTTGGCTAAGAACTTCTCGTTGGCTTTGGCAGGTTATCTCAACGATCCCGTTGCGTTCAGGAACGAATTGAAAACCTTCAGACCTACCGAGCCTACAACACAAAGCGACGAAATCAGCGAAATTGGTGTAGGAGATGAAGAGTTGCTGAACTTCTCTGATGCCGATTCTAAGACAAGTTTTAAACCGTCATTCCCGACACCACAGGCACCCGCGCCAACTTGGGGCTACATAGTCGCCCCTAAGAGTTCCGAAGACTTAGACGTGAAGAATTCGTTGAATCCCGACTTGCACACGGCTGACAGCCAATCGTTCGTGCCTGGTTTCAATAATTTAGCGGCAAACACTGGGAAAAGTATCGACAAGGGTGTAGGTAGCCAAAGGGACGTACCTGGTGATCATTGGACAGCTTCTCCAGGAGTTACGAAGCTGTGGCAATCTGCTCTATCTGTTAACCCTTCAATTCTCAACGAAAATCTAGATTCTACGAGACCCATATCGCACTTCACCGAACCTTACGTTCCTGGTACAACCCCAACACCTCTTCATTTCCCCCAAAGCGAAATTCAGTACGATCTTCGAGCTTTGCCTAAACTGACGCTAAACTCAACGCAAGTTCATGGAATTTTAATCGATTTCGTCAACACGACTAAACCCGATGACTCCAACAGGTTGCAAAGGCTTCTGAAGAAGCTGAACACCACAGAAGACGAGTTCCTTCATAGGATGAAGGAGATAGAGTCTAACCCTTTGACGAAGAGGTTGATTTTGCTCCTGATCAGCGAGTGCGGAGCTAACGTGACTAAGGATCTTGAAGCAGATCCCATCCACAGCCTTTCCGAGCTGCTAAATTCGCCCAGTTCTGATCCTGAAGTTGTCGGTCATCAAGAAAGCAGAAACAGTGATATTCCCGAACTGGTAGATCCAAGTTTGCAGCAAGACGACCAAGACACCAGGGCACTACAGCTCTTAAATTCGCTTTACGCTATAGCTTCTAAATTCGGGAAATGATGTCCGTTTCCGCTTGCTCATTGTTTGTCATTTATTTGTTAAATTATAAGAGAGTGCTTGGGTGCGTGTATGAGTTCGACTGGGTGATATTAGACGTTAATATTAATTTAATATTTTGTACTTTTAACGCTACGATTTCCTATTACGAAATATATTTTAGGATAATTAGTTTTAAGTTTTTTTTATTATGTACTTAACAAGTTGTCGACCACACTGTCTTCCCCCAACAAGTGTATATAATACTGTAAATAAAATATTTTATAGCAAGAGCTCTTTCATTAAAAAAATTCTGCAATTAAACAAAACAGAAGAAAAAGTACCAGGCCTTTCTTTAGCCTTGACTAGGATCTGAACTTGTCGTTCTCGATCTTGGGCCTGTGGGGGCGGAGCCCCCTAGAACCACTACCATAGAATAAAAAATAAAATAAAATTTATTATAAAAAGTTATATACCTACAACCTTTAGTCTACTTAATAATTATAATATAAATTAGTTACAATTTCTGACTATACAAAATAATAAAATATCTACAATTCTGTCGTTGTTTCGACTGGGGAATGGTCCCCATAGGCGTAACCAATATTCAAGTAGTCTTTCTTTTCTTTAAACATCACATTTTCATTTGTAGGACTTGTGTTCATCTCGTCCTCGTCAGAGGACCTGAAAAAGAAAGAAAGTAGAAGTAAATTCAGGTCTCTAGTCTCATTAGTAGCTTTGACACACTTGTTCAAATAAAGTAATAATGAATTACTAATTTACTAATATAATCGTGTAAAAAAATAATATGTGGGCGACATATAACCTATAAAGTATATGTCATTGCTATTCAATGTCTACCGACGAAAGTGCCTACTGGCAAAGCGACCTATTAGGCAGGTGCTATGAGATAATAACGTACTAGGCGAAATAAACATTTTAACTGATGATATTTTGGGAAACAACTACTTTGTAAGGTATTAGATATTGAGAAAAACATGTATTAGAGACATTTATTTGACATGATACTTTATTTTTGTATCTAGAACGAGAATTTACAAAACTAATACCATATTTGAAAAGCAAATCAGTTGGATACCGTCCGAAAACGTCCAGAACTCTTACGAAAGAGGAAATTGAGAGATTTTTACAAGAAGCACCTGATAATAGATTTCTGCTAGAAAAGGTAATTCAAATTAATATAAATCGATCAAAATAATTAATTTTTGACAACTTTGAGAAGAGATGAGTTACTAAAGATAACGATCGATGAAATAGAAGACAAAGATTAAATTATTATTATAAGAATTCCCGACTCCAAAACTCATACTCCGAGTGTTTTGTGATTTTTTGTGAAGTATGTCAGGGAAAAATGTGTTAATTAAGTGATTGGCATCAACAAAATAAGGAATGTGCTAAGATAAATAGCACCTTATCTCAATTTGCCTCATCCGGAAACGTGTAGAGGCCACTGCTTCTTCCGCCACTATGTCAGCCGATGCAGGGGCCGATATTACCACCATTAAACGACATGACGTTCTAGTACGGCTGCGGAGACGTATATAGAAGATTGTTTACAAAATAAAATTTCAATCGCAAATAAATTGTTACCATCTCAAGCAGATCCAACGGAACTTGCCAATAACACGTGAGGAGTAAACTTAAACAATTACAGCAGCAACCTCATTGAACACCCAGAACTAAAAGCTACGATAACTGACAGACTGGATCAAGCATAAATTTAACTCGCTGCAATATCGGCACGTTCAATTTACATGTAGTGCAAAATAAATTGTAATCGTCATGTTTATAATAGTTACTCACTTCGTCATCTGAAAATTTAACGAAAATGTCGACTTTTGATGGCAGTTTTCGAAAAATGTGCTTTTACCTTACCTATTATTGTATATATGGTCCCTCCTAAGAGTATTTTCGCCATTTTTAGACAAAATATGGCCGTCCCCCACACTGGAGGCCCTAGCCGTTGTAGCCGACTCGCTACTCACAGGGCTCTGCTGCCCTGGAAGCAAAATTAAAAAAATTATCACCACCGCAAGACAAATAGACAACTTCACCTACCGTATTTCTTGAGATTGTTGTCTTTGCTAATGTAACTGACATTATCCAAACTGAACGCGTGGTTCTTGTTACTGAAATCTAGATGGAGGTCATTGTAATCCTCCTGGTCGTCCACTGGGACGCACATCTGCAACACCTGGGTCTCGTATTCTTTGAGATTAGGCTCTACGTAGACGGTGTCGTACCTAGCGGGACTAGCGGGGACAGTGTACTGACGCTGCATCTGCTCCTTGTAGGATTTGTACCTTAAAACGAAATTCGAGACACTTTCGAATACAAAAGAAGCGCCTACTCCTTACCTGGACCAAGAGATGCATATGTAGATGATCCCTACTATCCCTAAAACGAATATAATGCACCCTATAATGATGAGGGCGTAAGGGAACACCTCTCCGTTGAACGAAGCTATGGAGGCACTCTTCACTTTATGGACAGCCAAAGGTTCGTGTATGGTAAAAGCGTTGTGCTTAATCTGACCTGTGACGTCGAAAGTTATGTTGTCCATCGCCGCCTTTTCAAGAATTAATCTACAAGAAATGGCCCTGTGAGTCTACCCTGGGGTACACCTTAACGCTTCGTACATACCTTTTGACTAGAGAATTGTTTCGGGGCAAGATTGTTTCAGTTTCAGGATCAACGACGTAAAACCACACGTCAGTCGCTGCTTGGTCCGTCTCCAGAGTACCGTTGCCGCCTATGAACTCCCTTGCGGTCAGTTTTTCCACCCCGACGACCAGTCCGGATTGCTCTTGGATAATCCGGGCTATGTCGTCCAATTTGGATTGCACCAAGTCGGGTTTCGCGTCGCCTATCACCATTATTATCCTGTTTACTTGTGAAATCAAATTCACAACGACAGGTGCTTCGGTTTCGAAGAAGTCTACGGTGGAATTGGGATTGTCGCGAGCTTTAGCACTTAACTGGAAGGGTAACACTGTTTGTTCTACGTCTTGGAACGATTTTTTAGTCCTTATGATGCCAGTGGTAGCGTCTATTACAAAGTATTCGTCGCTGTAGTTCCCGGACAGAGAATACTTGATTTTCCCGAATTTCCCGCTGTCCTTGTCGTCCGCTTTGACTTGGGTGACCGTCGTGGATAAAGGCGAGTTCGTTGATATGGCAGCGAAGTACTTTTTTGTTTCCGTACTGGGGAAAATGAAATACGGCTTGTTGTCGTTGACATCCACTACGTTGACTGTGATTTGGGCTATGGCGAATTCCTTGTTTATAAAACCTTGCAAAGACATGATCTCCACCTCGAACTCGTACGATTCTTGCGTTTCATAGTCCACCGTATCGTTTAAGTACAAGGCGCAGTTTCGTTCCTCCGTAACGTTAATAAAAAATTTTCCTACAAACAGAATTGAAAGATTAATAAAACGTCAGTTAAGTAAATGTATGCTAGGTACCTTCTTTATTTCCGGAAATAATCTGGCACTTCAAGGGAATGTTCGCTCCGTGGGTCCTGCTGTTGACGATGGTAAGTGTTTTGATTCTATACCCAGTGGTTGCATTTTCCGGGACTTGAAAGCTGTACGACGTATCCGCAAAGCGTAGACCTACCTCTGGAGCAACAGTGGCCACATGTTGGATGTAAACATCCACGGTGATCACTGAGGATAACTGAGGATCTCCTAAGTCGTACGCCCTCACATCGACCTGAAAGATTTCCTCGGTATTTCGATTCCCAAGTGTGGAAAAGGTACTTACTTGGTACTCCGTATCAACTTCTTTCTTTAAGTCGTTAGTCACACGTAAAACTCCAGTGTCTGGGTCTATCTGAAAGTACTTCGACGATTTTCCTCTTCCGATAATCTCGTACCGGACTTTGTTGCCAGGCGCAGTTCCATCTGAGTCGGTCGCTACCAAGGTGATGACGGTGGTTCCGATTGTCACGTCGTCTTCCAAGGTGATGGGGTGGGGGATGATTGTGAACACTGGAGGGATGTCGTTTCGGTCCTGGAACAAATAATTTAAAGAGTGAAGTGCCCAGAACGTTTTTTATTGGTAAAAATTACCTCCACGTTCACAACGACTTTAGTGGTGCTTCCCTTATCGCTGGACATATTTTCCAAGGTTCCTATCACAAGCACGTGTTGGCTGTCTTTCTCATAGTCCAATCCTCTGGAGGTGAAGATTTCCCCGGTACTTTCATCGATTCTGAAGAGGTCAGTCGGACCTTGATGGATGACGTAGGTGATTTTCTTGATAGTGTCTGGATCTTCAGCCTAAATAGAGGTATTAGACTTTATAGATGTTAATGTTGTTACTTTTACCTTCACTTCCGCCACAAAGTAATCAGGCATGTTCTCCGGAACGGTGGCTTCGTATTTGGGCTTAACAAAAACTGGAAGTTCGTCCTCAACGTCAATCACTTCAATCGACACAGTCGCAGTGGCTATCCTCGGGTCTGGCGCCCCATCCTTAGCGGTGACCACGAACTGGTATTCCTGGAAGACAAAATTAAAGCACAAAATTCGATTCTAAACGTACACTCACCTTCTGGGTCTCGTAATCCAGTGGGCGGTTCGTGGTAATTTCACCAGTCTCGTTGTCTACGTCGAAGGGCAGATCCGCTGGGATGAGGTAGGTAACCCGCGCGTTGATTCCCTCGTCCGCGTCATCGGCGTGTACGAAGCCCACTGAGGTCCTATTGAGGCCTTCTTTCACGCTGAACTTGTAGGGGTCGCCCACGAACTCGGGGTTCTTGTCGTTGATGTCGGTCACTTTGATGTTGACAGTCACTGTACTGGATAACTTGCCTGAGTCCTCCGCCTTTATCATCTGCAATCGCAAGTTTGTTAGTCCCTTTTTTACCACACTTTCCGTTGTCTGTAGACTTACCAGTTGGTACCTGTTCAAGTCTTCCCGATCCAGTTGCCTGATGATGGTCATGATGCCGGTCTTGGAGCCTATTGCAAACTGCCTTAGATCGTTGCCAGAGACGATTGAGTAAGTGACTGGGTCTCCTTCTGGATCAGATGCCTGGAAAAGAATTTAGCCTCAAAAACATTATCAACACCTTCAGAGAGACTTACCGCTATTGTGGCTACAGTCGAGTTGATAGTAGCGCCCTCACTAACTTCAATGTCATACACGGACTGCTCGAAAACAGGCGCTTGAGTATTGGGCCCTGGGCTTATGGTAACTTCAACAATGGCCTGACTGTACAACCCTCCTTTATCGGTGGCTTGCACCGTGAGGCTATACTGATCCCCCGCGTTCAATTTCCCTACGGTTTCCAGTTCCCCAGTCGTCGGATTGATCACGAATTTGTTGTTCCCGTTGTTGGAGACGTGGTAGATGGAGTACCTGACTTCTGCGTTTTCTCCCTCGTCGTTATCCGCGGCTTGAATCGTCGTGACTTTTCTTTTTACGTCCCCTGCTGGTACTGAGACCGGGGGGATGATGGGGAGCACTGGGGGGTTGTCGTTGACGTCCCTGAGGTGCACCGTTACGGAAGTTGGCGGACTGGCGGCGATGCCGTTTTTCTCGCGGGCTACTACTTGGAATTTGAACTTTCCCGGGTTGGGTGGGTCTCGGTCCAAGTTGTTTTCGTTGACTATTATCTGGTTCTCTTTGTTTATCGCGAAATAGGGGGTTGTGAGTTCGAAGGTGTAGGATGGCTTGGGGTCTCCAGGGCCCTATAAGATACAAATACTATTATACAAGATATGGCAATGTAAATGGCAAGCAATGTGGTGAAATTACGTAATACTGACAATTTTCATGGCAACAGGTAGTGTTTTTATATAATCATATGTTAATCGAGCCTACTTTAACGGTAATAGACCTGTCGGTGTCGATCAAAGATAATATCAGCTGCAAACAATTAGGAATTAACATTTTGCTACTGTTTTACGCAATTTTATCATGTATAAACTTTTCTGAATGTGTATTTGTTTGTTGAAACGTTCTACACCTCCAGCGGTGTGTCATGTAATAACAAAAGTAGATCGAATTTTGTTGATAAAAGTGACGCACGATCTTTATTTTATTCAATAAAAAAACTTTCCCAAGATACCTAACACAAAAGTATCGTTTGAATTTCAAATTAATCTACTTGTTGCTATTTCTGTACTACCGATAATATACTGTACGTTAAATGAATTTGGAAGTTGCTAGCTTTGTTCCTGGAGCCATCCAAAGAATAAAAATATAAAAGTCTCACACAGCGATACTCACAAAATCTTTATCTTCAACTGTGACCACCAGAGGTCGCCCGTTCGAATCCAGCACTTTCTCCCCTATGGGTGAGTTTTCGTCCACGTACCCCTCTACTGAAGACAGCTGTATTTCCGGAGGATGAGCATCCACTGGTTTAACGGTGATAAATAATTTGGCCGTCGTTGATCTTTTGGCTTCAGAAACCTCCTGGGCCTGGAAAAGGTAAAAAAAATCATAGGAGAGGGTACAAATTGGTGGTATATTTCAGCTGATCTCATGTTGGCACCTGTGCAATGTTCTAGTATTTATCTGAGCCATCCTGTATATCTACAAGCGCCCAGAATTGATTGGATTTGAAATCCGATTAATATTTATTATAATTTAAAATTTTGACATCGAGAACAGGTTATTCCTAATAATAGGCATTGGAAAATTGCATAATGATTAATTAATTATACCTGATAAAAACTCATTTTTATAATTTGAAAGGTGTGTTTGGGTCTACTACATTTTCAGCTTTTGTAGTTGAATTTTAATTGGATCCACGAAACGACAACGTCGATAAGGAGATGGAGTTGTAGATGTTAAGATACGCGTGTCAAATTGTCGGTTTATTTTTTTATTAGAAGGTTCTTAGGAATAACATCTTGTATATGATATGTGTGGACATATGTATTTTTCATCTGCTTTCACTTTTTGATACTTTCTACCAAATAAACACGTTCTTTAGGTGTTTATAAATTTAGTAGATATATTTTTAAAAAATGTAAGATAGTCTATTTATCGGAGTTTTTTATTTATATCTTGGAACCTATGCATTTGGGAAGAAAATTGAAAGGAAAAAAGTTTTAGAATTGAATTTTGCACAATATACTGTAAATTAAAAATGTTTAAATTTATTACCGATGTTGAAAAATAGCAATAATCGATGAAAAAAAGGCAAACTAATCAAGTTTCTTGGATAATTTTTTTAAAATATTTTAATTGTTCCGAGGGCACTCTAATTTTGGTAAAAAGAGTATAATAAAGGAGAGGAACTGCCAACAAGACCAAAAAACCTGCAAATCGTCTCAAACTCGACGCGAGTATAAGACCCATCCATTAAAGCTGATCACTCCACTTAACCTTCGAGTTATTCAAATGCAAAACTATTCCAAAAGGGCACAGTCGTCGATTCCACACAAGGGCGTATTAAAAAATAATTCGCCTTAATCTGCGGGTCATGAAGACAATTAACATTGCCAGTGGCGTAACAGCTTTGTGGGACCAGCGCTAAATCTCGATAAGAAGGGTTTTAATTGAAAAAAATTTGTACACATCAAGTTACGATTGTTTCCGGGACGTCGAAAGTGAAACAAATAAATATCTTCCCACTGTTCCGTAATTTATTCATTGTATTCACGATTTTTTTGGTGAAAAAGCAGCGGATGTGCACCGATGAAAAATTCATTAGCTGGTTTTACTCAATATAGTGTATATTGTATATTTATTACTTAAATATCTAACCGGCTCGTTCCCACACCCACCCAGAGGTTAAAATCCTAGGAAGCCACCACGGCACCGTCTTCTGTTATTGTAATGTGACGTATGCTACCAGGAAAAGGACGATCGTCGTTTTCTTCGCCGCCTCCTCCGATTGCATTGCAAAAACGCTCCACGACTGAGTATACCATTAACTTATAGGCTGATGGTTGTATTGTGTGGAGGTTATTACGCAAAATATTACACGCCGATAGAAAAGCGACATCAAACGGCCTAACAGTTTTTTGTACGTAGCGGAAATGCGCTTATAATGTCGCGTTTTCATGTCATATTACTTAATTGACACTTCCTTACGGAGTGGGCAGTGGATTGGACAGATCCCTGCTGGATATGTTTCGTAAAAGGTAACAGGCCTTGTCCTTCTTGTGGGAATGTTGTGTAGTCGAAATCTGGCAGGCGGTGAGTCACTCGATGACCAAATATTGCAAAGAGATAAAGGGTATTTATTTAAAACACATATCCAACAGGCAATCTATCATCCAATACATTACACATCTGCTGTGTAACTGTGTAGACCTGATAGAAATTCATAGTTCATTGAAAAGTTGTAGGAGCATTTTTTAGACCAAACGGCATTCTCAGAAATTCATAATATCCATTGTCTGTTGAGAAACTTTCTTTCACCAATAAATTGAGTTTTATTCAACATATAGTTGCAATTTTATCTGGTGAAAAATTTGAGATAAAACAACAGCACTTGTTGTAGATGTTACAAATGTCAATTGCTTGGTTGTATACAAGAACGAGAGAAAGTATCTTCGATCAACTAACCTTGATGATAATCTCGAACTTTTTCGTGGTCGACGTATCCACGGGCTTGGTCTGGTGCACTGCTCCAGTTTCCTGGTCTATCCGGAAGTATTCGCCGTAGGAATCCGGAGTACCGCTGACGAAGGAATAGCGGATGGGCGAGTTGATGGTATCCATGTCCACTGCTTGGATTTTCTCGGGAGATATGTTGAGAATACCTTGCAAAACGCCGCTGGACACCTGAAAATATCGAAAAACTTGAAGACAAACATAGTTTAACAGTAAGCAGCGCCACCCTTGCAGTTTGATGATCTTTGACGTCTTATATTGATATAAACGCTTTATTCGAATAAACTTTGAAGCTAATGGGGCTTAGTATTGTACCTTGAGGCGCATCTCCTCGAGTTTTATATTGGAATGAGTTATCTATGCACCTGCTGGTTTCACAGTTATCGCACATCGCGTGAAATGAAACGTAAGCTCAATAAACGACCACGGGTCTCTGGATATAATCTCAAGGGCAGTCCATATTTTATCGGCGATTTTTTCTGACGCCTTTTTGAAGTCATTGATGCGAAACGCGGTGTTAATGCATGCAAATGGCATCTTACATCTGTTTCTAAGAGCCATTCGACCGGTTTTCCAGTGGCGTACAAGTGGATTTAAAAAAATTGGAAATAATTGTTAATTTTTTTTGGTGTTATCACATTTGAGACCATATAATTTTCCTTACCGACATTTTTATTTTAACAGCAGACTACCACACCTTTGACTAATTCCCAATTTGATTAAATTGACCCATAAAATGTTTTTTATGCGCGTCTGTCAAATTTAAATAATTACTGGAAATAAATTAAAGCATTTTTATAATTAAACTGGCGAAGCAGTCGTAATTAATTTGACATAACAAATTAATTTGTAAGTATAATTTTTTGCACTGACACAAAAGCACAACCTGACGACAAATTAATGATTTCAGCTAAAACATCAGTTAACGACATTAAAAAACTTTGCGTGGGTGTAAACCATTATTCTTTTATGTGAAAATTAAATGTGGGAACTTCTACCTAGTTGTTTTGACCACAAGTGCGGGCGCGGGGTTATAAAATAGGCAGATCTTATCCTTATCGAGCATTCTTGTGTGCAATGATTGGAAACGTCACACGTATAATAATTTTTATATCACTGCAAACTTTTCTGAGACTTGATTATCGCCGCAATAAATTTACTTATTATCTTCGTTATTTATAGCGTTAATAATTACAGAAATATATGTACCCACATCATTTTATCTCCTTTCAGTTCAATTTCTCAACTCTGATAAAGAAATGACGCGTTGCTACTCTAGTTTCACATCTGTGTGGGCGAAGAGCTGGTGTATTATTACTATAACTTACTGAAAATGGTTGAGCTTACCGATGCTGTATATTCCGGGTTGATACAGGAGCCATCCAGAAGCATGCATCCCTTGTATATAAAAGATGGAGGCAGGTCGTCATCGTCCTTGATGTTCACTGTCAAAGTGGTGGTGGAGGATAGTCGTTGGGATTCGTCTCTAGCTCGATCCTACGAAAAAAAAAAAACGGTTATGTTAAAATAAAATTATTTCTTCATTTTTGGTGTTAGGAATTTATTACGCTCTGTATATAAGGTTCATTCTAAATGGTGTTAAAATGTTCATTATATTTTTCCAACTTAAATTGGAATCAATGAGCATAACTAAAAACATGTAACATAGATTTAATTTTTTAAAAATGTAATGTTTTTGTAAAATTATTATAGTTTCCGAGAAAAAAAATTATTGAAGTTGTATCCGATTTTAGTATTAACGTTTTTGCGATAGTGTTTATATTAGTTTTTCGAGTATGTGAAATTATTTTATTAATTAAAACCACAAATTAATTTTATTAATTAATAATAATAATAATAATAGCGGCAAAAACAGTTGAATTTGCTGATATAAAATTCTATGTCGATATATGCTTTCTGTCTAAGTAAAGTATCTTTTTATGTTTTATTTTAAAATAACGATACTCCTGATATCTGACTGTATATCTTTACATTTTTTAATTTTACATTTTACTATTAACATTCATGTAAAAGCGATTTAAGTCCAAGAATCATGACACTTTCTAATGAGACATAGGTATTTCCTAAATTTCAAATTCTTTTGTCTCTTTCGCGTGTGTTACGGTAAATATAAAAGTAATTATGATTTTAATTTCGACAAATCCGCTTTCACTAGCTGAGGAGATGAAATTATAGAATAATATGTAGGTGTTATCTCTAAGGAATAAGTTTTATTAAGTTTAATTTTAAGAAATTTGACACGGAATGCTCCAGGGATCTGTTCTAGGGCCCCTTTGTCCACGTACTTATTCTTAACGCTCAATAATGTTACGTGTGCTTAGTCTGAATCAAAATTAAAAAAGGAAACCTACAAATATCAATTTTGTTCATTTATATGAATAATACAAAAAAACGACGTTTCTGTCATCAACAACTATTACCAAAATACAACTTCCATCTGTTGGGTACTGGTAACAAAAAAAGCCAAGCAAAATGGCCAAAAAAACTCCGTTTTTTGCAAAAAATTAGTTCAGTAAACAAAGACACGTAAATATGAGAAAAAGTGGCATCCAATGTTCACAAAAAACAGTTTTTTCAATAAAAAAAAAACTCTACATTTTAGAAATGTTTTAGCTAAAAGCTGTAGAACTTATTATAACAAAAAATTTTTTGATAACCAAATATATTAGTTATTGCAAAAAAACGACTAAATATCCCAATTTTAAAAATTTCCGTACCTTTAAAACGAAAAAAGATTTTTTTACGAAACTTTCAGAATATGTAATCCTTTTCAAGTAGAATAAGCGCATTTTTGTAAAATTGCAAAATATTTGATAGTTTTTGCAAAAATTGAGTTTTTCGAAAAAAAATACATTTTTCTTCAAGGTTCAATAAAGCATACAATAATGCTCTTACGTGACCCATATTGGGCTTAAAATTTTCTCTAAGAATTGTACTTTCCTGTGCAAATTGTGCACGTATTGCAAAATAATAGGAAATATGCCGAAAATCTACCGAAACTTTGACTTCTTTTTTCGTATCGAAAAATGTAGATCTTTCCCTATCGCTGAAATTTAATCGGAATGCGATTATTGCCACATGAAAGCTGACATTTTTTCACGAATTAAAAAAATGTATCCCTACGACCAACAGGTTCAAGTAAAGTTCATTCAATTCTACGGATTTCAATTTTTCCTAAATTGCACATAAAAATATAATTTGATTGGACTATAACGCCAAATTCTTGCGCATTGACCACTGATCAAAAATAAAACTGTATCCATTAGAGTAAACTATTTCGCTCGCCCTGTACACCAGAAAAGGAAATGCGCCCCCGATTTTTGTCTAATTTCGAATCAACAAGCCGCTTTCAATTTTTACACTCGACTGGGTTCCACATTCAATCAGTCAACAGGCGACAACTGCATGTGAGCTGTTGTAACTTCACATTCACCGATTCTAACGATACAGCGACATGTCCTTACCGCACAGTAGCAACAATCGTATCAATATTTTGCTTTCTCTCCGCATTCCTCTTTGCTACACCTACAATTAAAATCTGATTATATGCAGTTGTGATAATCGATAACGATCTTGTAGACCGATTAATATTATATAACTGGTGGGACAATTACGGCTTATATGCCTGCTGATTCGAATTTTGAAGTGATACGGGTGAGGTAATTAGAGATACTAAAATGGAAAATAACGCCGTTAATTATGCGTTTATATTTTCTATTTTCGTCGATGATAGAGCTTTATTATCAGATCTTGTTCAGGTATACACTAATCGAAGCATATTTTAAGTTAATTTCAAGGACTTGGGTTATGATAGCTGATTATTTATTTTAAATATCAAGTAGGTGTGGAGGTATCTACGTATTTTATCCAGGTAGCACCACAAACAATGAACAATACTAACGTTTATTTATACAGTGGTCTATATTGCTTGGTGATTTACCTGAAGAAAGTTGCAAATAATAGGAAAAATTGGAAGAAATCTGCTCCCACCATAGCAAATAGACTATTAATACATTGTTAATAGCCAGTAACGTTGTCGATGTTCTTCGGAATGAATGGCCTGTACATGTTTCAGGATGTTCTAGTTTCGTAAACTGTGCAATCTTATCAAAGAAAGGGTATTTTTGCCGACTGGTTGGTTGTAACATCTACCTGCTTGATAGCGCATAAAAAAGCGTGAAATTTCAGTTTTAATTTCCAATTTAATTTTAATATATTTCTTGAGAATTTCTAGGTGAGAAACAGAACTCAGATGAGAAGTAATTGCAAATGTACGTGACATACTATTTTTAGAATTTGGAATTGCAACTACAATAATGTCATAAATCAAACCTGACATTTTGAAGTCGTATCATTGAAATCAAAATTTAAAGAAAGCCTTGCTGATTGTTGTTACTATGATCTTGACGTTAATTGTTTAAGTTGTTAATTGTTACATTTAAGAATATAGCACAAGAACTGCCCAGTAGTATTTTATCTAACTTATACAATTTAAAAACACATTTAGGGTTTCTCTAAAGAACAGATTTATGATCCTGCAATTGTTTACTTTGTAGGATTAATCCCCTAAGGTGTTACCAAGAATAACGACCAACACACCGCACACCCACTAAGGCTTTGTTGCCATCGTCAAAGTCTAATACTACACCATTTCTGCTTTCAACTCAGCTCTCTTTATCTCTCCGGGATCTGTCCTGGACTTATTTGGAGAGAGACTTATCCAAATTAGATCGTTCTCCAGCTCGGCTCGTATTCGTGGCAATGTCCCCAATAAGTACAGGTGTTCAACACGAAAGAACTGAACTTCATACAACGCTGACACCGGCAGCGGCAAGACAAAAATATTATGTATATGCTAATTCGTTATTAACATACTCTAAATGTTAAAGCTTGTAACGGTTGATGACGGCCTGAGTCATAGAAACACACGTGTGGGTATAGGATGTAAACTGGACCGAAAAGTAATGTTTGATGATAACGAAACAGAATTATATCGCAAAGGCATATACAAGGCCTGTTCAGAAAATAACCGAACATTATTTATTTAACAGACCTCGTATATTCGTATTAAATACTAATTCCTTTGTGCTGACAAGTCATTCTGAGGAATTGTCGCACATATATTTTGATTCTCGGCCATGTTTACAACAGAGTGAAAGGCAGGTAACAATATTATGTCATAGCTGGCCTATAATTGTGTGAAAGTGACTGTGCGCTGTAATGGATACAAAAAAAGTTCGAAGTTATTATTGTAGACACCAAAAACACTCTTTAGTTGGTGCACTTCCTTTTCAAACGTGTCGAATCCGATCAAAATTTATATACAATAGGATCTAAAGCCGTTTAAAATGTTCACAGCAGAAACTGGGGGTTTCTTGAGCGCAAAGAACAATTTCAGATTCTCAAAAATACCTGAAAAGTTGTATTCTTTAATAACAAGGTATTAGATAATAAGTTACTTAATATTAAGAACGGATTATTAATAACAGAAAAAAAATACCAGAAGCTTTCTATTAATCAACTTTTTTTGCAGTTTTCCATTTAAATTCATTAATTAATTATAAAGTATTTACAATTTTCCACGCTTTTCATGTTAAATATCTTTCCAGCGTAACAGTTAAGTGGTGTATCCAATCACTACTGCTTACTATAAAAATATTCACGTAAAATCGACATTAATCAAAACATTTAAGGCTCAGAATTATTAAATTAATTACAAGCGACCCAAATTGAACATTTATTGGCTCCTATTTTAACGACGATGTAGAAGCTTGCGTAAATAGTTGTTAAAAACCAAATTATAATTTACCTAACAGCCAGTAACTGTTACGATGTATAGTTATGCAAATTTATGCAAATGCGATCTATAGAATAATAATAGGCCAGCCCTCTTGCATACAAGTTTGTTTTAATCACTTTTTTTTGGAAAATACAGATTTTCATGTTATTGAGATACGGAGCTGGTGAGTTTGAAATGCAACACCCCGTATATACCATAGACGCGCTGCTGCCACAGCCACGTTCCTCCCGACACTGAATGCCAATTAGACGCGTGTGAATCGAATGGTAGACGCGAGAATCGGTCGTACAAATTGGGACGACTTACCGTAGCGACGACTGTGACGTAATATCTCTGTGTCTTTTCGAAGTCCAGCGTCCTATTGACCGTAACTTGACCCTGATGCGGTAGGTTGATGGCGAAGAAGCCGAAGCCGTCCTCGCTGTGGATGCGATCTCGTCCTATTCCTTCATCTGGTGGCAAGCTGTCGGCTGGAACAGGAGACAGCGCGTGGTTGTTGCAAGTGTTTGAAACAAGAACGATAACACCGATACACAAAAAAAGTGGTCTGTACCTTTGATTTGACTCAATAGGCTTTCGATTTTGATGGCTTGTATAGTATCAGTGGGTAGATAATTAAATTCTAAAAGTTTTTTCCCCCTTGACATTTTTTCATACGACTAATATTAACCGAGAAAATTGAGGCGGTTTCATCACACCGCATTTAATAATGTTAACAACTGGAAACGTAGGCAAGTCCGCTAACCAGCCTTACCTTTGACTATCGAGTACTCCACAAGTGCGTTGACTCCGGTGTCTTTATCTTTAGCGACGATGTTCTGAAATATGGTCGTCCCAACTGGCGTCAGCTGCAAAACAAGAAAGTTTTACCTAAGCCCTCGCGCTACCTTCGGGTACTTTACCTCCGATATGCTGGTCTCGTATGGAGTGTTGACGAACTGGGGCGCGTTGTCGTTGATGTCGGTCAGTCTTACGATCACAGGGACGGTCCTCTTCTTGTGGGTGGCTTTTACGGTGCATATTAGCTGGAAAAAAAAGGAGGATAAGTCAGTGGGGTGTATATGATGGAGTATAATTTGTTGTATAAGCCTTGAACAACGCTTGAACTACGTAAATGACGTAAAAAACAATAAGTAATGTGAAAACCGAGTACTAGTAGTTAAAACCAAACTAAAGAGTATAAAAATACTACTCGAAAATTGACAAAATGTGCTACGAGTCCATATTATATTTTAACTTAGTTTTGGAATGGTACCTGCGTCAAATTAAAGCCAATTTGTACACGCATTTCAAGCGACATTGACAACAAGAACAAGACTGTGAATTAATTCGACATACATACAGTTCCAGCTAATTGTTAGAATGTGGTGGTTTCTTAATATCCTATCTACATTATCCAATAAAACGTAAATTTGGTACGGTAATTGCGTTGTACTTTCTACTTAATTGCTGATAGGTATTTGGATCAAAACAACGTTTTCGACAAGTTTTTTTGCAAAACTGGAAGACAAGTATTTCGAAATCAGTTGAGATCTTGTTAAATAGCTTCAGGTCATAGGAAATAAATTAAAAATAACTTATGTAATTCAAAACTAATCCAGATCAAGAAGAAATAGATGAGAAAGACGTATCATTAAATTCGTATATCTTTTTAATGTTAGATCTCGAATAAATCGAGATGAAACTTCACAGGGTTCTTCTAGGTATATCGAACTTTAAGAGTTATGCTTAACATTAGTCATTTCGTAAATATTTTTAATTTAACTGTCAATTTTCTAAAAAATCCATAAATTACTCTTTTTTCCTGTTTTTTAAAATTCGTGTAAAAGGTGAAAAAAATATTTTTTCCGAAAAGTTGCGGCAGTATGTTATAGCAAATTTAATCCAGTTTTCGAAACAATGTCCTTCAATTCTCTGTACGATCATTTGTCGCCAAGATATCGATGATTGAAGACAAAAGGATCCTTTTCCATTAAAAGCCCGATATTTCGATGAAAAATGGTCGTATCGAAGTTAAAAAAAAGGAAATTGAAGCTGAATAAACAAGCTATCTGGTCCATGCAATGGCTTAGCTGAAAAAATTTTTTCCAAGTCGTAGACTCAGAAAAAAAAAGAAAATTTGCAAAATTTTTCCGTCGCGCTATTTCTTAGAATTGCATGAAGAACTACATATTTGATCGTAGAGCAAACAGTCTACAACGTAAATATAAACCCACATTGGCTCCTATATCACCACGTAACCGAAAATTTCCCCCTTGTAGCCTCGAAGTTATAATTTCTCGGTAGCGTGAGTTGTTAAAACGTTCCGTAATTGCAGCCACAGCGATATCTCTCGGTAAGTCGATCTGCAGAGAGTGGAGCAGGTTCTTTACCGACCGACCGAGGTTAAAAAAAATCCACGACCGGTTCCCTAACAATGCCCATAATGGGAAATACTACGGCGGACTGAGGCCTATTGATCTTACCCATGAATGAATACGCTGATTATTCCAATTACCGAGAGTACAAAACGCGATTTTTCCGTTCGTGTATTCTAATCCAGTTTCAGGAAAAGAGTAGTAACAGAAAATATACCGGACGTCCTACTAAGGTCGGCGAGGTACGGTATTAGAAAAACTCTACGAACTTGAAAACTATTTCCAGGGATTTCTCTTGGTCGATTTATTAACCTAAATTTTTTCCCGAAATTCTAGGGCCTATACTTTCCCTAATATCGTACCTTGCCTACCTTAGTGGGACACACTGTATATTAGTAATTGTGTGAGAAATTATAGCGCCTTTCTCTTTGTTGGCTTTTATAACTGACGCTTCAGTTCTGGTATAAACTTGGATTAATTTCTATAAAATTCTATGGAACAATAAAAAAAAATAACTACATAGTTTTTCAAATACATCCTAAGTGATAACGGCCCCAGAGCAGAACCATGAGGCACTTCCTAATTTATTCCACTAAATATTGCAAATTTATGAGAAATAAGCAAACATAAACTATAAAAGTGATTTTAATATTTCCTTTCTTTTTCCCAAAAGACTGTGAAGGTGTTTCTATCAAAAACAAAGATATCTTAAACAATTGATGACTGAATTGTATACGTTCAAAAAATAATGTTTATTTAATTTAATGACGCCACAATCACGTTAAACAACCTTGGTCAAGCAACTGCTCCTTATTTGAAATAATTGTGGTATTACAACAAATTCAATACATACCAGTTAATAATACAACATTTCTAAGTAGTGTAAATATTCATTTTCTGTGTCTGTCTCAAACAGAATAACAGTATATCGAAACCAACTACTCTTAGCGCTCCATTTATTTGTCAAGTAAGCTTCAAATTCGATAGCATCTAAATCTAGTTGGTACATGTGATATAAAATGAAACAAAAGAAGGTCATATGTTCTATTTACAATGTCAGCGTAAACAAAAGAACATCTGGTACTTTATTTTAAATGTATTTAAAGAAATGTCTATTCTTGCTATTCTATTATCACCCTTGACGAAGACAAATCACGTAAAAACCATTTTGAATTTGTTTGAAGTAGAGTTTGGTTAAAATAGAACAGCAAACTACAATTTTCTTTACGTCAGTGATAAGTTCTGTGAAAAGTGATTAGGCCGGACCGCATTTTATCCAGATTTACATCCAACAAATCAGCTTTTAGGTTATCAAATTCTCTCTTCGAATTTTCTGAGTGAATATGACGTTTCTTACCTGGAACACGATATGCGACAGATTTTCTTCGTCCCTGTCGAGGGGGGAGAGCAACTGGAGCTTCTTCCCGTTCAGGAAGAAGATCGGTGGCCCTTTTGGAAAGGAAAGATCCAGGAATATATCGACGTTTGGTTCGCCTGAGATCGGTAACTCTGGTGGGGTGGTTTCTTGACTAACGGCTAGAAAAATATCACATTTTAAACTGAATTTAATTAGAAGAGTAGGAAGCGACAAAAACAATGAAAAATAATTATTTGGTAGTGTCTTAACAAATTTTTATTTATCTGTTGTTGATAATGAAGGTGGTAAAGATTAATCAGTTGTTATTTGGGACACCACGTATAATTATATAATTTGGGACACTCTATATAAAGATTCTCATGGAATCCTGAGGCGAGTTTACAGTTATTGTGACAGCCAACGGTTGCTTGATTATTTCCCAGTACAAAATTTAAACAAGAAATCTGCTGACCCACGAAAACAAACAATACCGGCATTTGTTATTGTTAGTAGCATTCTAACGTAAATATGTATATAATTAAGCAAATTACTCGCTTCTTGACTTACTAACCTGGTTTTTTTTAACAACGATAGTTTGTTTTCGTAAGAATAATTGTCGTGAAAATTATTGATGCCAACTTACATGATTCTCTGCTTTCTTCTATGTCTAGGATGATGTTTGACTCCCCCGTCTCCAATTCACATAATCCTGGGAAAAAAAAGTGGGGTGTAACTTATGATAATCCAGAAAACGCTCCTATCTACTTCAAGAACTTGTAGATATAAATACATATTAATAAATGTCTGGAAAATGTCGAGAATTCTGCAAAATATCCGTTACTTTAAATATATTCAGTTAAAGTACATATAAAATTGTTTCTGCTATGAGTACTGTTGAAAGTGTGCGTACGGATTTTTTTTGCTATCAGCGTTTAAAAAAATGTTCACTTCTCACTACCGATCCACAATTTGAAGAGAGAGCGCGATTCGAGAAACAGTAAAAGCAACAGAAAGTGAATTATAGTTGAATAGCTTTCTCAGATAATAAACGGAATAAACTTAAACTACACCAAAAATAAGGGAAAAAACATAAACTATACTACAAATAAATGACTTGAGACAATACTTAACAGCGCACTGACTCGTCAGATGGAGCCAATCGAACGGTGTGACGTCACCAATGCTCTGCGAACGCTTTGGACCGTTTCAAATATTATACAAATTACAATTTATTATCGATATTACTGAATCAGTGTAATGCACTTCCTACTGCATAGAAGTGACAACCAGTAGGTTATCTCCAATCAGCAGTAGTTAAATATAATGCACCTGTTTCCATGCAAAGAACATCCATGCATAAATTGGTGTTATGCGATCTATGTTTCGATTATTGTAACTACCATACGAAAACGGCAGTGTTATTAAATATTAACTCGTGTTGCGTTGTCAGAATTTCTACGTGACTGGACTGACACCTTTCGTATTGTTTGTTTGCTTTACTTCTAAATGCAGCTTTGATTTATGTCGGGAGGTGTTTACTTGTTTCTTTCGGCTTTTACTGTTGTTGTCCTGGCTATAAAAATACCGTTTACTGTTAATTGTTCGAGTGTTGCGTGACTTGTTAGACAATGTATAATTATAGAAAAATAATAGGAACGCGACTAATTTTTTGCACAACTAAAAGCGATATCTTTGTTTAATAATCAATTGTACATACAAGAATTAGAAATGGAGTTAGTAGGATAGGGAGATCGGCACAACATCATACTTTTCTTCATTTTAGTATAACTGATGTATACATCATTCTTTCTTAGATTTGGACACACACAAAATCTACCTTACAGTAAGGAAAGGTGGCAAAAGGTACCTCATGGTTCCGTTCTTGGGCCACTAATATCTTAAACGTTCATTAATGATATTTGTAATAATTTTCTTTTACATGCAGATGACTTCTACTTCCCATTTAAAAGTTATAATAAAAATTACATTAACTGTGGAAGGATCAAGTAGTCGTTTTTTGTATCCTCACAGTAGGCCCATACTATAAAGTTTGAGACACCTTATACAATTGATCTGTGCTGTATGTATAATATGGTGTTAGTTGACAGTTGACGAAGACATCCAAGAATGCAATCTTCCAATACATTGGCGAGGCTGACCAATTATTCTCAAAAAGAACATAAACAGCGACTGCAGTGGAGGCAAATTTTATATCTAAGCTCATCAGTCATTGGAAATTCAATCTGTTGCCACACCTCTTCAATCGCTGTGTCCCAGGTTTCATTTTGATAGCGAGTAAACAAACATAAGTCGTTTCGTGACTCTTCGACCCGACTGTACCATCTACTGTTCCACGTTTGTCTCGCTCCGGGGCCTTTGGCGACGTCGACCACGACAAGCGAGTATAAAAGTCTAACCTGATCTTCAGGTTTGTTAACATCGCTCCGGCCTACATATCCTTTTAAGACTGCCGTGTCGTATATTGGCGATTTTATTTTTAAATCGGGTGATAAGGAGATGTTTTTATAATGGGCGGTGATTGCGCGGAAAAAGTGGGCCTCTCGGAGTCCCCTGAGGCGGTTAGTGAGTCATTGGACGCGATTGTTGTTGGTGTTATAATGAGATTTATTGTCGACTTGTAAGTCTTCCTCTGAGATAATAAATAATAGTCAGCCCGGGGCGTTTGTTGAATTACGGCATAGATCTATGTGGAGTTCTTTGAACGTCTTTGTTTTCAAGACTTAATCTCCAGTGAGACTATACATTTCTGTGGCATATATCCCTGCTCCTTCAGAAAATGCTTTTTTGTTGTTCTTAATTCTAAACCTAGCTCATATTAGTCAAGTACTACATTTGACCAAATGAATTTTGATATAACTGGTCCAGTGGAACCACCAAATCTGTGTCCATTAAACTTTATATTAGAGGTTGAACAAAATAATAGAATCTGATTTTTAATCATTAAATTATTATTTTTCTTAATACTAAATTATGTTACTGTAAAAACGGACTTAAAATTGGTTAAAATAAAGCCTTATAACCTTACCTGCTGCTCTCGTGCTTGGCAAATACAGTAGAAGACATATTGTGTATGCTATCTGAAGAAAATCCATTCGAGTGATCTGAAAAAAAAAACAGAGAACGAATAAATCTTCAGCTTTGCTAAAATTAATCAGGGAAAATCATTATAGTTGTTGAAATTTAATTTTAGTTACTGAAAACCAAACTATAAAACAAGTACAAAACTGCAACTGTTACAAATACATTTGGTGCAATACAATACGTCTCTCATTCATTCAATCATTTGTAAATATTTTACATCTATTTTAGAGGTACGTAGGTAGTTTTTCAGCAGAAATTCTAGGATTAATAAGGAGTTGAAAGTGCTGAACCAATTCCCGTTCTTAGAAGCTTCTTGTCAAATCGACGAGGACATTAAGTCAATGTCAATTGACCGTCTCTCTTACTTCAGAAAAACAGAATCCATCGATTCTACCTTTAACAAAACGGCTTTCAGTGTGGGTCTAAGCAACATGCAAATCTGGCCGAGAGTGGCGAAATTAATTGTTGTTCTGGTCAGATTGATTGGAAGCCTTGCAAACCCACAGAGCTGCATCTTCGATAGCAACAATCGGAGGAACAAGTCTTTACACAGTCTATTAAAAGCGATGACGGTAACTTTGATACCCATCACTAACAGCATCATTTTTCCACTCTACAGTCGAAATACCAAGAATTCCAAGTCTGCAGCAAGAAAAATTTATAAATATGTCTGATTTATCCTTATTGACGTAAACAAGACGTATCTAATGCTTCAGCTATTTGTAAAAAGACATGCATTGTCTTTACTACCAATTTAAAAGTATAATAACAGACGTTGAACAATGTAACGGCATAAAATTTGTGATTGGTATAATTAAACAATTAGCAGATTGTTAATAAATGTGGTGAAGACAGAAAGGTCACGCGTGAGTGGACAAACGGATGTATAATTTTATTTAGTGGACTTATATAAGTACCTTAAATAATTATTATACGGAATGATGTGCTTACTTGTAAAATTCAAAGGTAAACGACTTGTTTACTGATTGTTTCGAGAGCTATAGTCAGCAACTAAAAATTTCACAGTCCACACGAAATGATTTATCAGTATCGTACGACATAGGTTAGTTTTTTCTTAATTAGTACACATTAAATATGTGTACCTTTCCTTCTTGGGACTGTAAAGCACAGAAACTTATCTTCAAGTTCTTGAACTAAGACATTAAGTCAACAAGGCCCAGTCTGACACCTGTCCAAACATAATTTAATAGCCCCTGAATATACCGTGGCACGCATTTTTGTATGCCTATTAGCTAAGGCTAACGTTTAAATACTTTACTAATTTTCTTCGAAAGATTAAATAAAAGAAACGTTTTTAGCAGGTTACGAAGAGGAGATAGTTAATTTAAAAGTATATTTACAACACAGGTAATTATATTAAGTCGATGCTGTTGAGTCAAAAATAGTACAAAGCTGGTGGTCAATGACATTTTATTAGGAGTTTGTTTCATTTAAACAAAGTAACACGGAGACTGCCTTGTGTTTATAATTAAATTAGGATCAACATCGCTATGTTTACTATAAAAGAGTGAAAACTACTACTGAGATTAATGTTATTAATTTGGAAATCATGCAAATTCTACAGGCTTCTAATCGCAATTATAATTTAATAACACTACCTATTAATATTAATCTAGGAGCAGCGTTGATGTTATCAGACATCTCGTATTTAATGGTCCACTGATCAAGAACAATATAAAAAGCGTTTCGAAACCTGTGATTACTCTGAGGATTCCGATGATGATAATTGAGGCAAATCCGTCTGCAGATAGTAACGACGACTTCCTCTCGCATTTTTCAATGATAACGCACGTAGGTAGCCGTTTTTCCTCTGGCCAGTTAAGACTTAACGGAACATTGACAGTAAATTTATGACGGTAGGTATGTCTGCTTGAGATCGATATTAATATACTGGGTGCTCGGCAGAATATAAAGCGTTTTGTATCCAAACTACAGCGTTCCTTATGTTTGGAAGAAAATTTACCTCACTTTTGAATATTTCGACGTGACCAAACGCTGTGTACAACATTGAAACACACAGCGCTCTATTTTGTACTACCTCTGCGCTACTATGATTATATTAATATATCGCCCGCAGCCAACTCGAGTTACTTTTGTTTTCCGTTACTTAATTGAGAAAAAGCCGAGGTTGGAAACGGAGCCGAAAGTTCACGTAGAAAGTAGGTTATTGTAGCCTTATAGGAAAGGAATAAGCATTGATAGTTGTATTTATAACCCGTCTCGGGAGCGTGCAACACGTCGATACATAAAAACGGCTATAAACGAGAAAATGTTAGTAGCGAGTTAATCTTTTATTGGCTTACAACGTTTTAAGTGCGATACAATTTATGAAAACTGATTTTTTATTGGATTGAATGGCGTTTGAATTTAGTGGCCGATCACAAACTCTAATCATTGTCATCGTCGAATTCACGTCACTATATTGACTATAAATTACGTCAGAAACACCAAGGAGCCTTGATATATACGAAATGTGTTTAGACAAGGGTGGATCTTTAGTACAACTCACATAATAAAAGTGTATTTCTAGATCTGGGCGAAGTCCAGAACATTTTCAAAATTGCAAAAATTTTTTAAAAATTTTAAAAAATACCTATTTTATTTATTTTTAATTATATCTTGGAACCTATGCATTTTGGAAGAATATTGAAGAGGAAAAAAAGTTTTAGAATTGAATTTTGCACAATTTACTGGAAGTTAAAAATGTTTAAATTTATTACCGATGTTGCAAAACAGCAGTGAAGAAGACGAAGAAAGGCAAAATAGTCAAGTTTTTTTTGTATAATTTTTTAAAAATATTTTAAACGTTTCTAGGGCATTCTAATTTTGGTAAAAGAAACTTTAGAGTATAATAAAACAACACACCAAATCTCATTAAAATCGGTTCTATAGTTTTCGGAAAATAATTTTTTTAAATAAATTTTGAAAAAAAAATTTCGAATTTTCAAAATGTTGCACAGCCTCAAACAAAGCATCTAGATACTTGAAAATTTTTTCACATAGAAAAGACCGCTCAACCTTTCAAATGGTTTTTGAAAAATTGAAATCGGTTGATTAGGACGGCCACAGTAAATTTTTAAATTTAATACTCTTTATTTTTAAACAATTAGATTACATTTATCAATTTGCAATTTAGTTTTTTTAAAAAATAATAACATTTTTGCAATTCCCAATGTTCGTTTGACGACTTTCTTTGGATCTTTCATTTCTAAAAACAGTTAGTTCACAAGTAAGTGGCAAAATCTTACTAAACAAGTAATAGTAAAAACTAGAATAACATTGACCGTGGTTTTTTTTCAACGTTTTACAAGAGCTTATTAAATATGTGCCAAACTATTAATAACAGGCCACCAGAACAGCAAATTACAGGTGACTCTAGCACGATTTGAAACTATGTCTCAAAAACCGCAAGCTTAACACGAAATAGACGAAAAAAATTTGTAAATCCTCGACCGGTTCTGATATCATAATCGTTTGAGTGGTTTCGGTAACGCAATCCTTTTACAATTCGATTAGCTACGCGCACAGGCTACAATATTGTATTGTGGGTAACTTATTTAAAAAAAATTACACAGTCGCTTGAATATTTGTGGATGGAGGCCAGTTTTATCACTTATTGGGACGAAAACGTCACGCATCTTAAAATACTTGCTAAATTTGACACGCACAGGTATCATTGAGGTCCCTTGTGGACAACTGTCTAATGCTAGGCTCACACAGCAGACCGCTAAAGTAGCTATGTTTGCTATCAAAACTAAAAAACTATTTTAATCAGCACAATGACATCTATATAATTTTACAACTTGTCTTAAGATAGTTAATATTCAGTAAAACGCTATATGTTTCATTTAAAACTATGTTCTCGATTGCACGAACATAACACAGCTATGTGACCTACGCATAAAGCCATTTTAATAGACATACTGAACACAGTAAGCCTAGTACTGTGTGTGGTCGAATTATAGTTAATACAGCGCTCTGTGCGACTTATCATAAAACAAACTTTAATGCATGCGCGAACATAGCAAACATGGGGAAAAACGGTTACTATAGTATAAAGCTAAGCTTTTTATGCCATTCTAAAAAGCTTAGCGATTATAGCAAGCGCGTAATATGTACGTGTGGTCGTAGTTTTGGCTGATTTAACGTGTATAGCGAACATAGCGATCTATGTAGACTGGTACATAACAAGCACATAACATTCATGTGCTTCAAAATGTATAATAATGACGTTTTAGAGTGTATAGCGAAATTAGCGAACATAGCTAACATAATCAGCATAGCTATAGAGTCATAATTTTGCCTGTTTAACGTGTATAGCAAACGCAGCGAGCATAGCTTCCTGTGGCCCTGTGGATTGATTCTTTTAACGAGTATAGCTTTCATTGCGAACATAGCTAATGCAGAGCTGTGTGTGGCCTTAGAATAAAACTGTGGTGGCAATTTTTAAAATCCTTAACGAACATAGCGCTGTGTGTGTTTGTAATTTTCTCAATTCTAGCGTGTATAGCGCAAGCGGCGAACATAGCTTACATAAAATGGTGAAATCAGTATGACGAACACAGAATATGATTTTATTCCCAAAAATTCACGTAGACTATTGCGTTGCATCTAATAATATATTCGCCCACTCTGTATATACTCGGCACGCCCGACAGCCTTAAACATACCGTCGCTATGGCGAATGCAAAAATACAGGAAATGTAAACCGTAACTGTAAATTGTGCAAAAGAAAATCTGTGGGATTTTGGCAAAGGTATAAACCAGCCTGCATTGTTCGTATTATTTATATCTTGCCCAACGCTGTACCCACGGCGATATTATTCACTATTCGCTATTTATTGCTCGGTTTATGTTGCATTGTGTTGATAGTGGTACTTTGTGGTACATACAATGTCGCTTTTGCATGGGAGTCGATCCTAAAAGTTCAATCACAGATGAAACTACAGTTTCTAATGTTTTCGCAACGAAGCAATGCGTTTTATATCTTATGTGTTTG